GGGGGGTTTGTTTGTTTTTTTGTTTGTTGTTGGGGTTTTTTTGGGGGGGAGGGGCTCTTGTTTTCTTAACTAATCAGAAATAACTGCTGGCCAGTGCTACAGCTGTATCCTCATATACTTCATTCTTTTCTGAACATTTGGTGGGAACAATACATGCTGCTGGCTTGAACTTACTTACTTTTTTTTTGCTGAAAATGCCGATATTTGCACATTTTTTAATAAGGTGACATGAGCTCACTTTCTGTTCTTCCTTCTGTCCAGGTGTTCAAGCGAGCGTTCATCCCACGCACCTTGGAGGAAGTTGTGGACATCGAGAGAGATGTGCGGAGGTCGCAGACACAGGAAGGGGGGCAGGTCGGTTTGGTTTGGGCTAGGAAATATTTGTCTGATTTTGAACTCACTGACTGCCAGGGGTAGAAATCCCAATGTAACCCCAGCTGCCAACAGTTCTAAGGGAGGTTTAGAACATTCACAGTCGATGTTTTAGAACATTCATAGTCGGATAACTGTTCAAAGTAGACACAGATAATTGTCTCCGTTTGTAATTGTTATTTTGAGTTTTATCAAGGTGAACACAAATTTTCAATAAAGGTCGTGCTTTTGTCCAACTTCTAAATTATGAAAAACCGTTTTGTTTCTATGGGTTCTGCTGTTGGTCAAAGCATGTTAGATGGTCTCAAAAATGACTTACAATTCCTAGGTCCCAAATATTCGGGTTAAGAAGGGTTAAAAAAAAAATGTACCTCTGAGGTTACGGAATGCACTTCTTCAACCAGTGGTTCAAGTAATTCCAAGGGGTTTTTTGGTCCATATGTCAAATAATCATGCAAACAAAAGATCTTGTGTAGTTTGCTCCTTCTTTCCTATCAAAGATCTGTCGTCCTTATCTCTCCTTCTTTTCTATCAAACATCTATCGTCCTTACCTCTCCTTTTTTTCCTATCAAACATCTGTCATCCTTATCTCTTTTCCTTCTTTTCTATGTTACTGTCTCGTAACACCTCTATCTTCAGCAGTTATATGATCTGATTGTGTTGCAAGTTTAAATATATCTTGCAGAGTTGAATCTGGCGCCCGTCAATTTTGGGGCAAATGGAGTTATTGGTATCATCTTAAAGATTGGTCATTTAATTTGTCTTGCTTTTTACCCAAAAAAATAGAAGTTGAGATATTTGTGACTGACTGAGGTGAGGGTCACCTTATGTCGGGAGTTAAAATTAACAAATAAATGGCCGCCAAAATTTGGTGACTTGAAAATGTAAATTTATATTTTTTGTGTCTTTGATCAATGCTTTTCGGTAAAATCAACACCTCCCCCTCCCCCCTTTCCCCAGGTTCTGTACCACACAGTGACCGGCCTCCGACCAGACTTGAGCGGACCGAGCCAGGTGAGAAATGTGGGGGGTCGGTGACCATTGCCAGAAACTGACAGACTTTTAGTGGGCTCAGATGTACCAGACTTCCTGTTTCTCATATATATGTATATACAGTCCAAATTTCTCTAACGGCTACTTGTATAAGACAACCGCCCATACCAATAACCACTTCCCACATCCCCGAACTTCCTGTTTCACACTGCGGTGCAGATTTTCCTGATAAATCCGGAGTCCCGGATGTCTTAAATTGTCTGGATTTTGGTGGACCTCTTGCTACAAGATGCATTAAACAATATGATAATTCTAATAAATGTTCGGTAAGTTTTGAGTGCCTGCGCACGGGTTTCCGTGGGTTGGATTTTGTCACCAGTTGGTACCTCAGTTCATGTCGTGGATAAATTTCCAAGTCCAGCTTTTTTAGTTTAGTTTTAGTAGAGGTTTTGCAGCGCTCGCAGCTGCATAAGGTCATATGAGCGCCAGAAGATTAGAGGTGTTACAAGAGAGTAACAAACATAAAAATGAAGAAGGGGAGATAAGGACGATAGATGTTTGATAGGAAAGAAGAAGCAAGCCACTCCAGAGCACCCGCCAACCACCCACTCCAGCTTTTTGAAAGAGTGGTGTTGTGTTGACACCCACCGGTAGAAGCAGAAGAAACAAATAAAGTAGGTTGTGTCAGCGTGTCTCTGTGGTGCGGTCGCTTGCAGGAGACCCAGGTTCAATTCCCATGTGGGGTTGAACTGTTTGGCGATAGAAAACATATAGGATCAACGAATGGAAATAGCGACTTAAATGACAACCTTTTTAATTAGCCGTGGACACGAGGAGTGTTGAGAATCGTCAAGTGTTGGTAGGGACTTTGTTCAAGTCCAGAGCCCGCCAGTTGTTTTGTCAGTCCCAGGCTTGTCAACTGTCCCCAATTTCCCAGGACGGTCACGGATTTGTCAAGTGGGGAATTTGAGAGGACCCCAAAACCAGCTCTCACTTGATGCTTGATGTAATCTTTGTTTGTTCCATAACCTGCTGTCGTAATATATATATATGTGTGTGTGTGTGTGTCACTGACATTGTCTTTAGGTCATTCCCGAAGGGGGGATATTAACATGTTTTTATGCATTATCAATGTCATGCTCATTCTGTGCCGGAACAACATAGGGGGAACTGCTGCTTTTTCTTTCCTCATCCTTACTATCATAACTTTTCCTCTACTTCTTTTGTATGTTTGTCACTCTCTTGTGACCCGCTATTTCTGGGGTGCCTTGATAGTCGAAGTAGACTTTGTGCTGTTGAGGCTAGAGAGGTGAGCAGAGTAAGCCTGATTCCCTGTAAGGACATCCACCCCTTGGCGCTCATATGACCTAATGCAGTTGCGAGCGCTGTAAAACTTTATTAAGAGCAAATTGACTGGGTTTGGACAAATCTGTCAAGTCTACCTTCGTCACGCGAGCCTCGCTCATCAATCTGTCCTGTTCCAGGTGCCGGACTTGATAGAGAAACTGGCGGCCGTGGTGGGGGCGGAGGACGAGGAGGGGGGCGAGATGGACGAGGGTGGTGAGGGGGGCGGGCTGCGACTCCCCACGCTGGAGGACAACGGCGACGACTCGGAGGACGAGGACAAAGACTCAGCGCTCGGAGACGCAGGAAGTGAGCAGGAGGGCGAGGGGAGCGACTCAGAGGACGACGAGGACAAGAAGAAAGGACATCCGACCAGGGAGAGGAATGAAACCACCGAAGAAAAAAAGGTAAGCTAACAGTAGTGGGGGGTTTTTGTATGAGCGTTAAGGCACTTGCGACCGAAATTGGTCATGTTAAGGGCTGTAGATTAGAGGTGGTACTAGAAAGTACCAAAGAAAAGGAGGAGGAGAGATCAGGATGATACATGTTTGATAGAAAAGGAGGAGCAAACCACACCAGAGCACCTGCCAGCCACCCTCAGAGGTGATCTTGGTTGTAGCAATGGCCTCCCTCTCACCCCTACCCCCTCACTTTCTTATCCTTTTTCTTAGGTCACAAATGGCCCAGCTTTTTTACAAATTGCTCTCAGTGTGGGGATGGGAGGAAGTGTAGAAGATAATTGTGGAGAATCTGTCATCCCCGTCATGTCTGTTATTTCTGTGGACGGCTGGGAGCCTCGCGTGATGATCAGAAGGAAAGTCTTGGTTGGGAAATGGTGTTTGGACAGGGCTAAACATGTGAGGCAGTGTGGGGAAATCAGGCGCTCGTCAAAATTACGAAATTGAAGAAACTGGCATTTTTCTACTAGTTAGGCAAGTTTTGTCGAATTTTTGTTTTTTGGCTTAATATCATTGATGTCCTATTAAAAACACATTTCTGGGTGGATTTTACTGAAAACCGTTGATTGAAGGCTCACAAATGTAAGTTCTCAGTTTCCACACACTATCAAACTATGGAAATGGTCAAACTTTGGTCGTATTTATCTCGCTAATTCTACCTTTGAAACCAGGCGACCCCACCTTCTTCAATCTCAAATATCTCGACTTCTATTCAAGATAGATGGGCATTTTTTTCACCAATAGGACAATTGAACAACTTTGAAGATGCCACCAATAACTCCACACGCCCAAAAACTGACGAGCGCCTGATTTCAGCACGCGTGACTCGCTATATAAGAAACAGTCCTGCCTGCTCAGATTTTCATGTCCCATAATGTTCTTTGTTTTAAAACGCATACAAAGCGAAATTCAAACACAATGAAAGGATGTTCGTGTCGTGCCAATTTGGCTATGCGTGTGCTAGACTGTATGTATTTCTGCTAGACTGTATATATTTCTGCTAGACTGTATGTATTTCTGCTAGACTGTATGTATTTCTGCTAGACTGTACGTATTTCAACATGAATGGTTCTCTCTTGTGCCAGTTTTCCTAGTCTGTCTGTCCCCGTCGTTTTATGCAAGAAAAATTCTGAAATTATGCAAACTGAGCCCAAAAATGTGAAATTAAGTGATTCTGTTAATTTTAACAAAGAA